GTGTGTAGTGCTGTGTTGTGCTCTTGTTGTGTGTATCTGTGTGTGTGTGTGTATCCATGTGTTGTGTGTGTTATCTGTGTGTGTGGGTGTATCAGCTTTCTGTGTTGTGTGGTGATTCTCTGTGTGTTGTTGTGTTGTATCTTCTGTCCTTGTGTGTGTGTTGTATCTCTGTGTGTGTGTGTGTATCTCTGTGTGTATGTGGATTTGTGTTGGGATCTCTGCTCGTGGTGAATTAATGTGTGTGTAATCGTCTCTGTGTGTGTGTGTGTGTGTATCTCTCTGTGTGTGTGTGCTGTGGTGGTATCTCTGTGTGTGTGTGGTCTGTATCTCTGTGTGTGTTGTATGTATCTGTGTGTCGTGTTTTCTTTTTTTTTTTCACCCGTGGGCAGTGGGGAAAATCTTTCTAAAACACAGCGGGGTTCGCAACCCCGCTGCGTGTGGAATTCATAGCTTAGCCTATTGCCGACCCACTAAAAACCCTCCCTTTCCTCCTATTCCTTCCCGCGGAACCGCCGTCTAGCATGCATCGCTTGAGATGAGGTATGGTGTCTCGCCACGTCACCGAAATATTACGGGGAAGTCTTCTTCGTAAACTGCTCCTCGGAGCGGAGCGCTTCAGGGACCTTTGCGCGCATAGGTGGCTTACCGCACCGCCTCTTGACACACCTTATCGAGGCTCAAATAGGTACCTCACCGATTTCCGTCGCCGCCGTTCTGCATCTTCTTCTTCCTGTCGTGACTTAACAGTTCCTGCTGTTTTCTTGACATATAAACGATGAGAAAATAATAATAATAATAATAATAATAATAATAACAGTACTATGATACAAAATATAAAAAATAATATAATAATAATTAATAATAATAATAATGACGGACGACCGACAACAATAATAATAGATGCTAATCGGAAAGAACAAATAGTTATCACGAAACAATAGGTTTGCCCACGAGTAATATATCAGACCATCACACCTGAATCCTTGCTGTGCCGAACAAAAAAATGTCTGTTTAAGTATAGGGTAATGTGTGGTGTGTGTTAAAACATATAATGTTTAGATGTTTTCAGATGCTTCTCCCTTTACTCGTGAAATACTTGTTACACAGACCTCATAATAACAACCGAACATTTAATTATGCTTCTTTGGCCTTCCGATTTTTGTTTATTATATTTGCGTGATTTTTTGCGATGTAGTAAAATATTTGTGAATTTGAAAAAGGGAAAACGGTAAGATAATAACTTCTGAAAAGTTCTTTCCAATTACTTTTTATATAAAAGTCTAAGGAATAACGTTTATAAAAATAGTAGATGTATTGGTGCTTTTGAGTTATAATTTAAATATACCATATTTCACTTTGGTTCTTTATCCACGAAGTCGAAGGTCGGCAATGACGTTAAAGTAAATTCGGGTAGTTTCTTTCCCGCTTAATTATGCACGATCGCGAGATTTTACGTCTTCTGTATAGTCAAGGGTTCCCTATGTCATCCTTCTAGTCCCACACACACACAGATACACACACACACAGATACACACACACACACACAGATACACACACACACGCTGTACTGTTCTAGACATTGAACATAGAGTTATAAATATAGATCTAAATGAAGAATGGGAAGACTTTAAAACTGTAATTAATAATACAACACAAGAATCATTCGGAAGGAAGTTCGAACACCAAACTAGTCTCAAAACATGGAATGGAGAAACAAAGATGTCTTAAAAGAAAAGAAGGAAACTAATTTCAAATATCTCTAACCACAAAGTGAAATACAAAAATACAAATGTAAATCTGCAACAACAAAATGAGAGGTAAAAAAATTAAAAAACTAAAAAAAAAATAATAAAGTTTTATTAAGCTGTATAGAACATTGTGTAAATGGAGTGCTATCCATGGCATTTAAAAATTTAAAATTACTGTGTACTGGAGAGTGAGAAAGAGAGAAGTACAATATCATTAAATAAATAAAGTACAGAAGACTGGCTAAAATATGAAACGAAAGTGTAATAAAGTTTACTGAGCCAAGAATAGATATTGATCCCAAAACATATGAAGAGAGAGAAATCACATGTCAATCTCTCAAGAATAACAAAGCATCAGGAACTGAGAGAATTAATTAAGAACTCGTACAACATGCCTCCCAAGAAATAAAATAACTGCTTGACACATTAAATGTGTGTTGGATCATATACCATATTCCAAGAAAATTGAAAGAAGGTGTCATAATGTCGATTTATGAGAAGGGTGAATATAGGAATGAAAACAACTACCAAGATAGTGGCCAGCTTACTAAACACAGCTTGTAAACTTAATGGCACAATAATTAAATTCAATAAATGAAGTGAATCTGAGAGACGTTTAATGCATGTTTAAGAAGGGAAGATTCTGCTCTCACTGTACCTACGTTCTACAACAACTTATTCTAAAGAGAAGAGAATTTAACTTTCCAATGCATTTTCTATTAATTGTAGATTACAAGAATTTTTTCAATAACATCAGTCAAGACAGATTTTGTGTACTTTATGAATTCTAAAGGTTATCCAAATCACCTGGTAAATGTAAAACAAAGCCAAAATATCCATACAAATAGGAAATAGAACCAGTGACACAGCTTGTAGTTAGTTAATCAAGATGTTAAAACAGAATGCTCTATATCCAAAACACTAATTTTTACATAGATTCTAGCCATAGCACAACAAACAATAACTTTTCCTATGTTGCACACTGGCAATACATTCTTGACAACCTTGCCGATCTAGATAGAGAAGAACAGTATAAAAAGAACTCTTTGACAATTCTTTTTGCAAGCTGGCTCTGAACACTATCACAATAAAGATCATTAGAGGCCAGAAAAATATGTTGTGTGAAAAGTTAAATATGTAATAAATATTTAAAAGAGAAATATAATACATTAAATAAAAATCTACTATTATTTTCTAATTTTCAAACAATATAAATTTTCACAATTTGAAATTACATTAATAAATCATTTACTAAACCAATTTTAAAAATAAGTATGGCCTGGCCTACTGGATTAACGTTTTTAAGTTAATTTTTAATGTTTTTGAGTAATGATATCCATCATTCGAATGTGGGAACTCAATGATCTGTAAACACTCACTGCAACAATGTTTTCGCATGTCTGTTACATCCAAAATTTTTCAGAAATTGGAATTAAATGTGAAGAAAAATGCCATTGATACATTCCTTGACTAAAGATCATATTCTCAGCACTCATGAGCACTTGCATCATACATGTAGTGCTGACAGAAGTTAACCCACACAGATTGCCTGCATCTGACTGTGTTCACATACGACACCTCTCATCAACGCAATTCTGATGTTGTGTAAGAAAAAATATGCTAATTTTGTATATAAAATATTTTTTGAGAAATAAGTTATAGAAAATTGGTTGATTAACAAAAGTTTTACATAATTTGTAAGATATAAGAAAAAATATAATATAGTACAAAATATGTAAAAATGAAAATCAAACAAATTGGGATACTGTGTTGCCTTGATTTGCCAAGATCACAATTTTGAAAGCTGAATATACAAAGACAAAAAATGTAATTACATAAAAATACAGACTCTAATCATTAGCAGAAGAACGTGCAGCGAAAATAAAGGGAGTCCAACTACAGTTCTTGGCCCCCAATTTATTTTAAAATGTGCGGAAACCAAAGATTGAACTTATTTATTGAAATAAAACATTTTATTACATAAGGTTACAGAGACCCTTTTAAAATTTCCAAGACCAACCCTTGGCATTCCTGTATGCATGCCTATGTTCATAAGGAATATCTTAAAAGGACTTTAGCATTAGCTGTGAGCCTATCTTGGTTAATTTATAAATTAAGTTGACAATTCATAGTTCTGGATTTTGGAATTGGAATTGGGACTGTACATTTTTATAGTCTCTTATAAATAAATCAAAAATGTTATCTAGACACATCACTACCTGGCCTCTTGTAAAGTTGCATTATGCAGAAAAAAAAGCTCCTGTCACTTCAAGAGTTATATAAATTAAGAATGTCACTTTTATTCGTTCCAACATTTTTCTTCATTTCCACCTTGACTTAGCAATATCTCACATAAAAGGAGTCTTTAGAAATAGGATATATTGAATTTGACTATCCTAAAAAGTAACAAAATTATTTTATACATTAATTTGTCTCCTTTACCGAGTCAAAAAAATTCTACCATTGCAGTTGTAAGTATGATAAGTTTTTAAAAGATGTGGAAGAGATTTGGAGTTTGGTCAGAGCTAAGGTCTTAACAAGTAGTTTAGTCAGAAGTCAAGAAACCATGAGCATTTTATTACAATCATTACATAAAGAACAAATGAAAGGCTATTATATCTTTTAACCTCAATATCTTAATTTTCTTGAAAATATAGTAGACATTGAAGAAGATTCATTGGCTTCCAAATCAAATGCTTGTGTACCTTACATACAACAACAAAAGAAATTCAATACTAGTGATCTTTTAAATCTACTGTGTTAATTGGATTAATAGTTCAAGTAAGAATTGTGGTGTGCATGTGTTATCATAATCTGCTCATTCTATTTGTAAAGATTTTACAATGGAACAAAAATTGTTTCCCATTGTTTGGTATGATCAGCTATGTTTATTGCCACATTTTAGATAGTAATATGTAGGGTTTCAACTAGTACAGTTTTGTGAGATTAAAAAGGACTCCTTAAACTTAAAAAAAAAAAATTTAAAGTTATTTTTGGAAAATAACAGAGTAATCTGGTTTTGACTGTAGAATACATCAATTAAAGAAAAATGTAATAAATATTTTAATTAATAAATACATTTTGCTGCACTTATTAATTTTTTTTCTAATAAATGAAGAGGTACACAGCTCGAAAGAACAGAGTAACCATTCATATGTTAATTCTATTAGTTCACATCAAAATTGAACTTCAAGAAATAAAAGAATAACACTTTCTTTAATTTCAATATTGATAAAAATATTTCATTATATATTCTAGTTTACTTTTAATTTCTAAGAATGAAGTTGCAGATTAAATATTCTAGTGAGCAAAGTATATTCAATAAAGAGCAATTAAAGCTTGTACTCTACAAAACCAAAAGATACAGAAGCAGTTATATTTGGAAGCCAGTACTTACATATATACATAGAAAGATATTAACCCCGTCCAATCAGCCAAACCATTTTGATACCTTTATCAGATTTGATATAGTATGTTCTCATAACAAAATCATTGTTATACAATTAGTAGATTATGCTCTTCTGTTAACCATGAGGTCTATAGTTAAAAATCTATATGAAAAAGCAGGGTAGAGGGAGAGCAATAATTTTCTCACTACCTCTCAAAATGAGGAATAGAGAAGGCAGAATATTCCCATGGTATTGGCTGACTGGCTTATTCTACAGCATGCTTACTTACACCAAAAACCACATTCTGTGCTATAAAGTGGGGAAGACAATTGATTCATCCACCACCACTGCTGAAGGTATTGGTGTTACAAGTGCCGCAGACAAGAGATCAGAACTGGGCTGAAATCAAAGAATACACAATGCCAATGACGTAAAGTTTAGGGTGCAATGACACCCATAAATTATAATGAATAGAATGTAGAAACAGAAAAAAACAGTCTACATGAGTAACAGAAATCATTGGTGACAACTAATGAATTACAGAGGGGTAGGTTTGAGTTATCAGTGAAGCCCACAGACTCTTCAGAATGGAAATGGTTTTTTTTCGAAGGAAAACATTACTTGTGAAACTTAATAATATACATAGACAAAATGCATTTACTGTTATATTCAAATACTAAGAGGTTATTTTTGCCTAATGGGTTTTATTTTAGACCACAACATTCAATGAAGACCATGTGAACTATTATTAGTTGTCAAAAAATAATAGTTTTCTGTTTTCAAATGAACATAAAATAGAATCAAAAAGGTATATGACAGTACAAACAGAAAACATGAAGTAAACACATTACATCCTTTATAATTTAAACATGCTTGTTGAAGTGATAATGAAGATGATGATTATGAAGGCAAATAATAACTTTTATAACAATTACAAGAGTATCCAAGGGGTAAATTTAATTATCTCTCCCTGTTGAAAACAATTACTAAAAATACTTTTAATGGCAAAGCTACTCTGAGGCCTGCTGATCTACAAACAATGAAAGTTACTTTTTTAATTATTTACTTTCACCCTGATGTATATAATAAAATTATTTTGTAACTACACAATGCATTTTTTCTGCAGATGTTCAATCCTTTGGAATCTATAAAAATAAATTTATACTCCAAACTTAAAATACTTCTCTCTCAAAAGTGAGTTACAGCTCTCTTAAAAAATTTTTCTGAAAAGAATTGAATATGGCTAACATTGAATAAAATGCATAGAAAATTTTTTCACAGTTCACAAAGAGAAAATTTTGAATGAGTGGTTGATTGGTAAAAATATATTCTTGATAAAAATGTTTCATCCAATTTGTAAATTTTCAAATAATCACAATTAAGTCAAAAGGTTTAATAATTGAACAATAGCAAATAAAAGAGAGAATTTACTGTTAGTACTTACAACATATCACATTACCACTAATCTCCAACAGAATGCTTGAAATGTAGAAGTGAAGTGTAAATAAATTCAACATATCACTGTATGAAAGATAAGCAAAGGAGTATTCTCTCTGCCAAAATATAGGCATTAAAAAAAAAAATTAAAAAAAAGTTAAAAAAAGCTTGCAACCCAAAGTTCTAATCGTGGAAAAGAAAGAGTGAGAATACTTCTTTAAGACATCTTTAAAACCATGAGAGAATATTCAAATTTCTAAATCTACGCTCATGCATATTCGTATCCATAATACTCACTTGAATAGAATAAAATACCAACAGCATTCCACACAAAAACACCAACACACACATTACCATCTGTTCTTCACTGTTCATTTTCCATTTGATAAAATTAATAAACTTCACTTCATTTGAAAATTATATGACAAAACAATGTCTCATTCTATGATAAATCATGATAATACTTTTTTAATGCAAAGCACAACAAATCACCAATTTGATGCCACCTTCCCTTAGTCATTTAAAATAAAGCTTCCAAACATTGTGTAATTTAAGGCAACAGTTTTGATATCTTATTATTGAGACCAATCACAGAAAATAACTTCCAAATGTTACGCAAAAGCAACTAGAGAGCTATCATTATTTTGTAATGGTAGTTAAATATTGATTAGTAAATACTTGAAATAAATTGGTGGAACTGAATGAAATCTGTCAACTAACAATACAAAACACAACAAACACTCATTGGTACACCCAAGCCATCCCAAATGTTTGATCCCATTATATTAAGAAGTACTTATTAATACAATTATCACATTTGCATTGGCTTACCAGATCCCTTCTGATACTCCTTAGTGCATCATCTAGCAGAACAATGAAAGCAGTACAAAATCATTTTGTATTGTTATACTTCTTTCTTAATAATATGTATTGCATAATTTAAGGTAATATTCTTAGAATGAAGACAGAGGCTTATGAGGTCATCACACTCTTTACCCAGAAACCATTCTGCTTCATTCCTCTCATGCTTAGGGTATGTCAATAAGTCTTCCAAACCATTATCACTTTAGCTAACAAATAAATTATTTTCACTTCTTTCCCCTTCATTCAAAGAAATGGACAAAACAATTTTCCTTTAATCTGTGTTATCAAATATCTAAGAAATTCCATTTTCAATATATTGGTATATATATATATATATATTGAATATATATTGGTGAATGGAATCTTCATAGTTTACTCTTTGTGGAAGACTTTTGACTTTTCAGACATGCAAATAAAACATACACTGGGTTAGAGAGAAGTTATTAAAGATATATGTTAGTTTGAAGGAATTTTAATGAGAATAATTAGATGTACATTACATGAGTAGTGCCCATAACAAACTTCTTGACTGAAAGTGACAAAGAAAGTTATCATGGAAATAAGCTTCTAAGCAATTAAGCAGTAGTCTGAGCAGGTAAGTACAATGCTACAAAATTGGTCCAATATTTTCATTTAAAGATACAAGAATTATGTCATTTCATTTTTCAATCTACAGTAGTTTATACCTGTACATGAGTAAATACTTATTCCCGAAATATAAATTGATAACAAAATGATTGGTGAGTGAATATTTTAACTATCACAAGATGAGTGCCAAAGTATAATCTCATTATCTTAGTTCTACATATCATTTCTTTTGGCAACAACAAAACAGTTATTGTCAATGCAAAGCTATTATACATTTCCCCAAAAGACTCCAAAATGACAAATCTCTAAAGAACATCCAACTAAATCTCACTTAAGCTATATTGTCTAAAATGACCTAAGCTACTTCTCAGAAGAAATGTTATGTCTCTTTTTCTTGATTATACATTGACGTAATGATATGTCTTGTGTGGTGTACTTATTTACATTATATATATAGTTAGATATTATTTTAGTGTGACAAATTAATATGCCAAAATTGTACTTTCATAATTTGATAGAAAATCACAGATTTTGTAACATTATAGAGTAATTTGCCCCTCAATAGAAAGGACAAAATTGGCATTGCAAGGAGCGCTTTTGTAGACACACAGAGGATAAAGAAAAGTTTGTATATCCTAGAACCTACGCAATTCCATAGCCAGGATTTGATGCTTTTGAAAATCGTAGGAATGGTTTAGTGAAAGTCATTTAGACAGGTTGTTTTCTTTTAACACTAAATGTGAATAATCTTTGAATGATAGCATGTATTCTCCCAGCTATGGCTTTGGTAGCAGGTACATTAATGGGGCTTGGAAATGATTTTCAATTGCACAGGTGATAAATTCTGTACATGCCAATTACACACCAGGATTCTTCACATCAAGCGAGTACAACATTCTATGTAGGGAAATAACTACCAACACTCTTGCACACATAATATATAAGAAATTTGAGTTAATTTGAAAGATTTTTGAATAGCAAAAGACAAAGAGTTTGCAAGAGAACAATGAAATATGCACTAACTGACATTCAGTTTGTGCATGCATTCATACATTAAGAATATCTAATTTCAACCACAAATAAGGACACACTCGCACAGCCAATTCTCAAAGCTTATCTCACCTAAATCTACAATTCCCTCCAAGGGTGTTATTGCAACATTTTTAGAACTTCGTACTGTAGCACTTTGGGACTTTCTTACCAAATAAAGGCTTAAAGGCTTATTTCTTTAATTTTATTTTATATTTTTTTGTTTCATCCATGGTGTGTGCTCTGTAGCAAAATGGCAGAATTGCACAATATCCTTTTGGAGAAACTAGTGATCACCTCCAGATGATGATGCAAAGAGCTTCATTAAGTTTTTTTTTGAACACACTGTAAAATTTGGTTCTAATCATACGAAAACTAAAAAGTCTGCATGAAAATACATCTACATCTGAATAGAAGGATGAAAGTGATCATTTTTGTTGTGTAAAATAAAGCAAGAAAAATTAACAAGAGGCAAAGAATTAAAAATATTAATGTATCCAATGGTTTTGAGTAGTTAAATAGTTCAGCTTTTTCATTGAATAAAATATTTTGAGCAATTTTTAGCAATTATTATGTAATAACGTTGCTACCTAGCATCATTGTATTTTGAATTTGTTATAATTGAAGTCAAGAATAAATTATTTGTTTAGTATAATAGAAGTCATGAATAAATAGCCTTGATTAATAGAAACAAATAAAATCAATACAACTAATAAAATAAATATACAAAATTAATCTACAAAATTGTTAGAACTTCTTTAGCAACAACTATAAAGTGTGCTTAGTGATTTAATCATTAATTAAAATACCATTCATTCTTCTTATACTTCTACATCACAAAAAACTTCATTACTACAAAAAAGATTCTTTTCTCTTCTAAGCACATTATCTAAACACTTCATAACTACAATTTAAGTATCACTAGAAAAAAATTAGAATAAATAGATAGAAAGGAAAAGAAGTAAATTTACAAATACGAAATAAATATTAGTCTATAGTCCAGGAGAAGTCATATTCTAGATAATGCAAACAAAGGAACTGAGTCAAGGATGCGGCATCTCCTAGATAGTGAAGAGCATCAATTCCAGCCAAGGAAGCCTATGTTTTCGTTTTTTAATATTAATCTCACCATTTTCAAGAATGCAAGGCAAAATAATTTTAATTTTTGTCTTTTATGCTTGCATAATTCTATTTTATCTGTGTTATTTGAATGTATTATAGATTAACTGGTATGCAAACAAGCATGCATTCAAACATGTTCATGGCATGCATTCACACATTTCATGCAATCTACTATTGAGATAAAATTATAGTTCAGGCATTTGTATAAAGCAAAAATGTTTTATAGATGAATAATAAACTTCTTTCACAAGTGTAAATTAAGTTTTCACTTAATGAGTGCCATGTATAAAAAGAAATCAATTTTCAATGTAAAGAAGTTAAACTAGTTGCTACAGAAGTGAAATATATTGCCTACAGGTGAATTAGGACTTTCTTTCCTTTAATGAAGTTATTGTATCTTTAAATATTTAGGCAAAAATCAAAGTCAAATTTTGAATTATAAAAAGGTTAAAAGCTTACAAAACAATTTTAAGTAGGCAGAACTCTGAAGCTCATTTAACATTGTCATCTGGTTGAATGATCAGCAATTTATATTATTTCAAAATGAATGTGTTATTTTGACAAGGAGACTGCTAAGTTTTTCTCTGAAAATGAGAAATGCTCCAGGCAAAATAGAAGACATTTGACTTTTATCACTATTTCAGAAAAAAATGTACCACATTTCAAACAAAGATTAGTTTCAGCATATCATTATCTCAGATCAACTATTCTATTTGATAAGTTACTAATGTAAATTATAAAAAACTTTGAGATAATTGAAGGAATATAGGGCAAAATTTAATCTCTAAAATGAAATTTCTCTTCAGTTATGAGATCTAATTGTCATAAACAGTGTATAATGTACAACAGTGTTTGTACCCGTTTTCCTCAACTTAAATTAAGAGGGATGTTTTAAAGTAGCAACCTCATTTTCAGATAATTCATAGTTTCACACTGTCTATATTATTTCCACTAAGAACAAAAACAGGTACTGAATGACTGCTCATAAAAGGACAGTTGAAGATACCATCTAAAGAAAATAACACGAGACTATAAAAAAATGTATTATTAGTTTGATAATTATTTTAGTGGCATATTGTGTATGCTATATTACTGCCCTTCATTGTACTTTAAGAATAAATACATAAAATAAATAAACCTTTTAAAAAAGGTTACATAATCTTCCATTTGCAACTTAAGCAGTCATTAAAAGAAAATCAATTTTCATGTAATTCATAAATTATCAACAGCATCTTTTTAAAGTTGCTAATTTTACTTCTTCAAAAGGAGAAATTCCACAAATGTACTCTGGAGCCTTCACTTCCAGTGAATTTTATGTGATACTTCCAGAAGAAAATTTCTGTATTGATAGTATTTTCTTTATGGAAGCTATTTATTTTAACAGTGGACGGTAGGAGAGTTGCTAACTAGCAAATGTTTATACTAGAAGTGAGACATCATAGAGATTTCATATGGGCACTAAATACAGTTGGCGCCAAAAAAATTAAACAAATACAAGACATTAAAAGAACTTGTGAATGTTAATAAGCAACTGTCACTGAATATCAATGTGTAATTTTATATAGAATTTTTGTTTGTTTGTTTGTTCTAGATTATATTTTTAGCAATGCTGATGGTAAACAATAGGGGGGGGAAATCATGTTAATCACCTAAAAGATTTTCCAAATTATTCTCAAGTTTTAATGATCACTGAGATCTAGCCGAGGATTTTATTGAGGTATACGATTTACCATTACTACTTTTGGAAACGCCTGTCACACGACTGTTTCTCCCGAATGCATAAATTGTGATTCATAAAAAATCAGCTTAGTCATTCAAGTGGTCACAGTTCATAAATCTGTATTGATATGTCAATTTTATTGAAATTGTTAGAAGGTATCATCTCTTGCAACTATGTGTATACAGATGTGCTGTTTGCACATTTATGCAATGTACGAAGGAACCCATGAACATTAAACTTTTGAGAACATTGTTGGCAGTGCCTAACAATATGCATTTACATCAGTGGCGTAGCTACAAGTAGTGCCGTCCGCAGCTGCTATAAGTTTGTGGCTGATCTCCTCAATTAAAATATTAATAAATAAATGAACATAAGACTAGTGCTTGAACGACCTATCGAATTTGAACGAAGGCCCTACGTGGCCGCGGCGGAAAGATGGCTTCCTCCGCCACGCCGATTACTCGTTCCCTCCGACCACTCGATCGAGGCGATAAAAGTCAAGCGGTCTCGAGCATCTCCGGCTGTGGACTCGCCTCGCCGTCAGAGCGCGCGCGACGACGCCAGCACCAGCGGGCCCAGCACACTGGCCAGCAGCGACGCCAGGGGCCGGGAGGCGTCGCGCGGCCTCGCGCACCCGTCCGCGGCCGCTGCTGGCGCCACCGCCTCGGACGCCGCCCCCGCCCCTGCCCCAACGCCGCGCCCGCGTCGGCGCTCCGTCTCGGAAGGCGTACGGCCGCCACGCGGGCTCCTCTCCCCGCGGCTCCGCCGGCCGGGCGGCGGGGCCCGGCCGCCAGCAGCCGGCCCCGCCCCTCTCCCGCGCTCCGACCCGGCGCCGCGGCCGCCGCGCGCCTCCGGCGCGAACCTAGGGCGGCGGCGGGCGCGGCCGCACCCCCCCGGCCACGGCCCCCGCCCCCGGCCGCGGGCGGCACACGGCCCGCGCCGCCGCCCACGCCGTCCACGCCTACCTTCGCGGGGTGCAACGTCACGTTGAGGAGAGTGGGGTGCTGCTCCACCACCATGAAGTCCACCTCCTTGGGCAGGAAGCCGTCCGCGTACACCTGCGCCACAAGAAGAAAGAGCTGCACTAACATCCACGCTCAATTTGGAGTCCCTGTGCAGAAACTCTCTCAGTATTTATTCAAGCATCGTAGATCACAAGGCAAGATTCGCCCGTCCCATGAACTTCCACAGACGAAACTGTACTTACGCATTCTTATTCAGAATGACCGGAGTCATAAATTTGTTCAATGAATTGTCAAATCGACCGATAACTCTTACCCGGGTCTCCTCGATTACGCCCAGTTTCTCAACCACTGAGCTACCAAGACGACCGATTCTTTGACAGTTTCATAGGCCAGATATTGACCGTTTATGATGTATAATTCTCCTCACCCTGTCACCTCGTTGGAGACGCATTTACGCCGAAAATATGTTCCGCAAACAGTAAGTGCATCCAAGTGGTGACCTTCTTACTGAATAATCAATTGATTTTAATTATTATATTTGTTCAAAGAAGGGTCTCGGTTCGAGTCACTGTCGGGTTGACAAGAAATTTAATTATCGAAATACATTAGTTATTCAGTAACAAGGTCACAGCTTTGATGCATTTACTTTTGGGAAACGTTTCCGCTGTAATCGCGTCCCCAATTAGGTGTCAGAGTGGTGACAATTATATTCGCGAGAAACAAATGTGATATAATATATACTTTTAAAAATATTAATTTTATTGAAAAGGTGACATGTTCTTTGAACGATTCGTAGTATAAAATACTGTAATATTACATAAAAATATGTCACATCATGGATGATATTTACTTTAAAAACATATTTGCAACGGTTTTCGGAATGCTTCAAGGGACCAAAGGCAAAATTTCTGGTTCAACCAGGATTCTTCTGGGAGAGGGGCGGCTCTTATACACATAAAGTCTAGCTGACTTGATACGTTCTTATAAAGAAAATTTAATTTACACTGAATTTAAAATTTATTTTAATTTTATGATTTATACGTAGTTTTTTATAAGGTATTTAATTGAAATACTGAAAGACTTTCCTAACTACAGAATATTAGTAAAAACTATACAAAATGTCTCAGGATTGACGTTAAAAATCCCGAGGGCATGTGAGAGGGGGAGTACCAATTAATAACTTTTTTCCAACATATGGTGGAAAATTTCATATACCTAAGTTACACTCGTGTCATTTGCCCCTAACAAGTAACGCAACGCAATGTGCTTTAGTGTTTGGCGGGAATTCAAAATATCTCTGCGTCAGAACGTGTCCTGACACCAACACCATATTATGATGGGTTGCCTAAAAACCAAGGGAAAACTGTCACATGTGTGACTTAGTGAAACGAAATTTCCCTTCACATGTTCACTTGAAAAACAATGGATTATTTTCCATCCATTTACATGCACTACAATTCAGAGACACCTTGTTTTTGTGAAAATGTTTTTCCGGTTTCTCGGGGTGTGGGGGTTGAAGCTTTAAGAGCTCCCCCGGGATCGCACCACCAGGTGAAACCGTCCGTGGAAAGCGCTCGCGGACGCACCTCGAGCTTGTAGACGCCTGGCAGCAGGATGCGCCAGAACTCGCCGTACTTGGTGGTCTGGAAGCCCACGTCGCGGCCCTTCACCTTGAGCGCGGCGCGCGCCACCGGGTTGCCGCCGTCGTCCGTCACGAAGCCGCTCACGCCGCGGTGCGCCTCGCCCAGGAACTTCACCAGCGCCTGCGCACGTGCACGCGCCGCTGCAACGCTGCACCGCTCGCTCCACAAGCCCTCAACCCGCCCATCGACTAGTGGGCCTCTCAAAGCGTGTCCGCTGCTACGGCCATTCGCACAGAAAGTGTTACAACCCTCTGCTAGGAGGATGACATCCAGCGCACGCCCACACGTCCACTGGCAGGCGTTTCCCCTCCAGGTATCTCCGGCAGCGGGCAGGCCCCAGCCGGGGCAAAAACCTCCCTACTGGCCTCCCGGATAATGTGGAAGTGTTATGCGTGTAAGCGCGCGCGCGCGCGCGCGTGTGTGTGTGTGTGTGTGTGTGTGTGTGTGTGTGTGTGTGTGTATGTGTGTGTGTGTATGTGTGTGTGTATATGTGTGTGTATATGTGTGTGTATATGTGTGTGTATATGTGTGTGTATATGTGTGGGAAAGGCTAGCTAGAGTTCGAAAGAAATGAACTCCTGACGATTAAGTTGTGATATTTAAAGTGAAATTATTGTTAATAGAACCAATTAGTAGCGTCTTGAAGAGTTTAGAAGATTGGCGAAACCCCGAGGGAAGGTATTTGACGTAATTAATGAGTGGGTCAAGAATACGGAACAAGATATCCACGACAGCAGAGAAAGTAACAGCTTGCCGATTGATTAACCATCCAGCAATTACGAACAATATATTTTCTATTTGTTGAAACTTAAAGTATTTTGTTCGGCATTACCTCAAGAGTGAGGTGAACGGGCAGTGACGTTCGATAAGTGGAAAGCAACGGAAGCTGAATTATATTGGAGACACTGGGTCGTGGGCGCCTATAGGGGCATACACTGCTGCGGGACGGAAGTTTATTAGATACGTAACACGTTGTGCTGTCGAATTAATTCGCAGACTATTCGCAGATACGTATGTTCCAATAAAACATCTCATCAAGTCCAGGTTTGATTGAATAATTAAAAGGTCACTGAAAATAAGAAAAAAATGTATAAAGACAGCATATAAAGAGGAAAAGATGGACAGAAGTAGAAAAGGTTAAGGATCATAATGTAATTGTGAATGTATCACTGCAATGTTACAACAAATAAAAATGTATAATAATATTAATAAATTATCATATTTTATTAAATTGACGAATGTATCGGTTTCAACAACCGTGATTATTGCTTTCATTGTTTTGCTCGCAAAAATTACAAATGCTTTGCGGCGTTTGTATATTATGCTGCGTATGCAAGCGCAAGAGTATCGCTCGTGCTCTCCGCTCCGGTGCCACAACTCACCATGCGATTCTCTTCCCAGAACTTGGGCAAGTCGGATGCAGGAGGGAACTTGCAGCAACTCAGTTCAAGAGTCACCTCCATACAGCCGTACCAGACGTAATTGAAGTCTTGCATACCGCCTGCGAAAGCCATGAGGACAACATGAATGATCACAGAACTGACGAACCCTATCATTTACTCTCCTCGGGCACATTCGTCTACTCAGAATATTTTGGGCAATTTTTGTGCTGCTATTAGTATGACAGTCTTAAGCACAAAGTTCACAAAGTCTGCGTCTAACAAACCGTAATTTAGAATGGATTGAGGGTTATTGAGCAAATTGACAAAATGGGTACGAAACTTTACGGCATTTGTAAAAAAATCGGAAAGAAGATATATAGAACAATTATTTTCTAGTCAAAACAAACGCCAAACAACGTTAATTATGAAACTTTTGTTAACGGGAGACAAAGCATACTTCTTTATTGAATCAATTACGCGTCTACGAATGAGAATAAAATGGACGATTAAGGCAATTTCAACCATTCCCAACAAAATAAACTACACAGAACTTGTAACTGATATATACAATTGCCTAATATCAGTCGAAGAATGAATCAAATGTGGAGCATAATTCCAAGCAGAATGGAATGTAATATGATTTATTTAATTTTTGTCTTTGTGGTTCTTGATAGGCAGTAAATCATAAGTTAAGCAGCAATATTTGTGCTTATTGATTGCAAAAAAATGAGATACTTCACATATTCACTAAAGAAATTTTAACTTAATCTCAAGAAAATGGGCCAAGATTGTCTACTTGTGTTTTTCTACAATCATTGTAATTAAATACGAGAAGAAAAACTGAAAAAAGGATTCATTTTCTTAAGTGTTGTGTAAAGGGGCGAGGACTGACCGGTGAGCGGGTACCAGGCGGCGCCGTTGGTGATGCCGTGGGCGAAGGCCGGCGCGCCCGAGCGACAGGCGGCGCCGCGCGCCATCACCGGGTGGTTGCTGGCGTAGGTGAGCGCCAGGTGGCGGAACACGTCGTCGTCGGGCGTCAGCGACGGCGCCGAGGAGTAGCTCTGGAACACTGAGGCCGCGCGCCCACGCTCATCATCGCTGGGCAATCATTCACACACTCACCGATTCACACACTCACCGATTCACACACTCACCGATTCACACACTCACCGATTCACACATTTATTGATTCACACATTCATTAATTTAGGGGGCGCAAACCATTAACCATTAAATGGTAGCATATTAGTAGTTTATGCAGTTAGTGTGTAATGTTAAGCTTCACTGCACGAGTAGAAGTTATGAAAACTCGCTCCTAACGTCGCTCGTTTTCTAATTTGTACGAATACAGTTAAGAAACATTATAAACGAGTTGCATGTGCTAATTTTTGTAAAACAGAATTATAAATTTACAATAGGTTACAACTTCATTTTGCAAAACAACTTTCTTGTTCGGCTATTTCACATTGTGGGAGAACACGGTGTTTGGTTGTTCTCTTTACTGCTACCTCCCCACAATTCTCTTGCCGCGATTGGCTGAATGTGAGATGATGCTAATACGTCATCGAATGTGCCGTAAAATTCTAATACGTCATCATTTGTACAGTATAATGACCTTTATGGAACGATTTTTTGCAACAGAAAAATCGTTTATAATGCTGGTATACGAAAAATGTATTAGGTTGTAAATAACACTGGTCTGTCAGACATTGCGAATTTTTTTCGTGTTATTTGCGCATTACTCAATGTTTTAATTGAATGTACTTGTATAACTTAATACATATATCATGCATGAATAAACAGTTTCGTATTCTAATTTAACATTGAAATTAAATTTTTAAAGCAGAGTTGTTACAGAAATGTTTGAAGCTAGTGTGAAATTCAATTTCTATATTTCATTTATATTATTTTTTGTAAATCAATATTATTCATTTAGTCATTGCACATAACTAGTTACAACATATAGTAATCATAATTTCTTCACACTTCGAATGCACAACTTGGGAAAATCCAGCAATTCAGTTCTGAACCAACTACTGACTTTGGCGAAACACATTCATTGGTTTCATCTCTCGATATTTTCAACTGAACTAAAAAAAATCAAATAAACATAACGAACTTGGTTGTTTCTAAGAGAAATGTTAATTTAAACACGCGGCAAAACAACGTCTTCCCTGAAAAAAATTCCAAAGGTGGCGCTAGTACGTAAAATATACTTACGTTTACAGTAATACAGGTTTCTGAGATAGAACTTCTTGACAAATTTACAACAATGAGTAAGAAAAATTACAAAACAATGTTATCACATCAAAGAGACTCTGAAACGATGCATACCTCGGTGTTTGAAATTGCAATGTCACCAGTACAGCCTAATTAACAAAAAGAAATAGCGGTAGGGACTGAGAGACCTGTGTTACCACTTAAGAATTAAGATCATTAATCCGTAAGTGTAGTGCATGTTTTCATCGCGGGAGATGGCTGTGATCTTTCCCTGCTGGCTGGCAAGATCCGGCGCCGACATACGTCGGCTTGCGGGGTTTTTCCCAACTAGGTATCTCCCACCAACGTGACACCACTCCAGCCGAGATAACCGTTTTGCTCCCGATATGTGTGGTAGTATGTAACTGTCAGTGTGTGTAAGTAAGGGACAAGTATTGGACAAAGAAGAGGAAGGAAAGATTGCGGGAGGTCCATGGCCCATTTACAAGGGCACTGCTCAGCCATTCGCCTGGTGTTGATCAGAGAAACTGCGGAAAACTACAGGTCAGAGTAGCCGTCGTCTACAATTCTCGTGCAGAGGGCGGCTGAACTCGACCTAGCTATCTAGCGAGTGTCGAAAAACCTGCCACCGCCTGGAGTGGAACCCTCGAACCTGCCGGTCAGAGGCACTGCAAAGACATCTGTTGATGCCCTGAGCCTGCTTTGCCGGTGGCGGCACCACCGAGAAGCGCCATCCGTTTTTCACGCAGCCACCCCAACGCCACTGGCCGTGGGAAAGGAAGGATTCGCGAGTCGCACTGCGAACCCAGCTGCGCTCTCTTCGTGGCCTGGTGTGAAGGCTGCTCTTTAGAGCTGGGTTCGGCTGGCGGTCGCGCGGAAGCGCGTCTACGCTGCTGGTAGCGGGGGGAGGGCACCAGCAGCTCCACTGCGTCGCCCGTGTCAATTCCTCCACTTAAATAATGCTTTGTCAGCAGACGCCACACTCGTGATCGCTGTGCGAAGGGGCCTTTGACGGACAGAAGACACCCATACATTGAAAATAAGTTAATGGAATCGAATACTGAGAAAAAATTAAGAACGAGAGCACTGTGGGAAAGAATGTGCATCATAAAAGCAGGGAAATATTTGATTAATCTGATTTCTGATGAAGTAAATCGAGTGTACAGTTATGAAATAAACGTCCACGATGATACAGCAATGTGTTTGGGCCCTTTTCCGCTAACTTCCTGTATGCAGCAAACAGGAATCTGTTTGCAGACTGAAGTAGAGATGAAGTAGTAATCATGAAAGAATTACAATTATTCTTTTGTTTCAACCAAAAACTATTGGTATTTACTGAATTTTAATTTTAGTATCTCACAAAGTGGCTAGCTTTATCAGAGAAAGCGCTCAAAATGGTTGAACACGCTGTCAATGCGGGATTAATGATTTTTGCTGGGAGCTAAATGTACTATATACTGTGGGGGAACAACATTTCATTGTAAATTTAGTACAAATTACGTTTCCAGGGAAAAGTGGGTCATTTTAGCAGTCAGACCACAATTATTCAAGTCATCTTATATTAAATTCAATATTATTTTAATATGCTACCGAGAAAACACCAGAAACCAAAAAAATATTCATTTAAGCGCCTAGAGTTTTCTGCAGATTCAATTCTATTAGCTACTATTATTTTAGAATACGTTTTCATAATTAATGTAACGATATTCAAGAATTGTTCAGTCATTACCTCTCTGGACACAAAATAAAATGTGCGTTCTATATTTGCAGAGTGATAACAAGCCTGCAGAGATAAAAAACCAAGGAAACAATTATATTTTGGCTCATTAAGAGCTTCAACGCAAAGATTATTGAAGAATGAGAGCGGAAAAGAGAGACCACGAGATTGGGTGCAAAAAAATAACTAGAAAAATATTAGATAATCGTGTAAAGGAACGATTGTAGAATTTCAAGATACATTGAAATGTGTTTATGATTTATTAACAACCAAGGGGTGATTCTGCAACTAGAATAACTTGAGTGTAAGAATAAAGAACAGCAATGGGTGCAATAGTTAAGGGCCAATTTTATTAAGGAAGAACGGGACATCGTTTAAAAACGATAGCTAAAGAATAGGGAAATAGTGGGCGGAACAGAAACATTGCGGTTAGATCTCTCAACCCGCTTCTATGTTCCCCACAATATAACAACAGCACGAACGATTCAAAAAATTCACAAGGGTGACCTACAAACTTCAACGTGCTTGAGCAATACTAAAAACAAGATTTTCTAAAAAAATCTCACCAAGTTTTAGAAAGATTAGAGCTAATTACAGTGAATAAAGTTTGAAATAAACTCCTTTGAGAAGTATTCTTTTGATTTTTCAGAAATGACCGAAACGTATTTTTTAATATCTCTTAAGTCTTTAATAATTTACATTCAGGGAGTTTTTATTCATTGCTGCATTTGTGAGTACAAGTGCATTAAATGATTTCTGGTTATGTGCGTCAGAAACTTCACAGAAACAAGGTTTCTGTGAAAATGTGCTTAAATTGGCGCCTTTTCAGAGACGCTCAAAGGATATTTTCTATAAAAGAGCTGGAAATTTATCAATTAAATTTTTCATACAATAAAAGGCTTTACACTTCTCGAAAACTCTTAATATATTTATATTCTACTCTTAGGGGAGCAAAAAACATTAAGATGCCGATAGATAGCAGCTGGAGACAGAGAGAAGAGAAACTGAATATTCCAAGCCCGTCTAGAGAGATTAGAAAACTAACTAGTACGTGAACGATTTTTGTATCACCAGTTTTCTTTGTGTTCCAGGGAAGAATCGTTTTACGCATGCATTCTCTTCATTCAGCGTCTTAACTCTTGCAAAATAGTCGTTTACGGCACGAGTGGTACAAGTAGCATTTTATTATGCGAATAGAAAAGGTTGCGACGCGAGGCCGATAAGCCATGTGACGCAATCCCATGAACAAAATAAAATCTCTTTACAACATCTCTTATATACTATTTTTAGATACACTTAATGAATTTCATTTTATTTTAATTCACGTCTACAAAACACTTAAATATATACCATATTGCAATAAGGTCAGTAGTTAGCAGAAACGGTCAGATGAAAGTACTTTGTTTTTCTTGTTGCATTCACAGTTCTATCGAATCATTTGAGCATTGTCTCCTTTTTATTTTCACGTATACATACGTATATGTATAATATATGTAGTATAGAGAAAGTTATGTAACACCGGGCGAAAAAAAGACAGATTTTCGTCAGAAAACATTCGTTGCTAGGCCCTAATAACGAAAAAGTGAATAAATCAAGTTGGTAAATTAAAGGGCGGAAATTCTCTAACACGTGGTGTAGCCAGAATACTAGTTTTGTGAGTACTTGATACCGAAAAATCAATTAACGAGAAAACGTCCGTCTGCCCGTCTGTAAACACTACTAGCGCTTGAACCATTTTTTTCAAATTGAAAGACCCCCAGTTCATCTGGCTCGAGTAGAAGCTTTGAGAGTTTGAAAAACATTCTTTGAAATTGGGGTACTTTTCATGAAGTCATCTGGACATTTTCAACATTGTTTGTAAGAATAGAGTAACGATACTTTTAAAAAGCAGAATAGACCCGATTTTCATGGTTAACTATGAATTTTCGAAAATTTCAAAAGTATGGATTATAGTCGGCGTCTTCCTACAACAACAAAATTGAAGATAGAGGTTTTTCCTTCAAATTAAATTTGTTTTCCATAATTAGTTCTTTCATTAAGGTCAGGTACATTTTTTTTAATTGTCACTAGTTTTTGCGCAATATTGCGTTTAATATTTGATATCTTACAAAATACAAAAAGATTTTCTCAAAAACGGCTCCACGTTTTTTCTTTACACTTTTGGTAGGTATTGTATTAAATGCACTCTACGAAACGACAAACGCCATATTGCCCTGTTCTTTGTTTTGTTGTAAATTACAAAAATGTATTTTTTTTACTTCTCTCTTACCGTTAATGTTTAAATTAGCAGCAAATTGTTCACTTTATTATATTTATGAGAACATGTGCTCTAAATGAGGTCATATAATTCTTCTCGAAAATTCAACTGTTTTCTGTGTTAGCTTGCTCAAACTTTCGCAATTTCAGAAACGCTCAAACGCCATTTTCTCGAAAACGGGTACGAATTTTTTCTTTAAACGTTTTTAAAAGATAGTGCTAGTTGCGCTCTAATATGATGTAAAGTTCATTTCGTTGTATTGTTTTTTAAATTACACAAATCTAATTTTTTGAAAGATCTCTCATGCTATTAATATGCATACTTCCAGCGATTTGTTAATAGTATTGCAGTTAAAGTGCTTGGAATGACTTTTAATAAAGTTTTTCAAAACCTCAATAGTGCTCTGTGAAAAAGAGTTTCAAATTTCAAATTTACAGTAGCGCGTAAACGCCATTTTCTTAAAATCAGCTCAACTTTTTCAAAGAAAATAGCAATTTAGGGCGACGGTTTACTGTTCTGTAATATTCATAGAATATTATTTTCGGTCTATTGTTAGGAAACCGAAAAATTAAGAGAACTTTAACAAATAATGTAATTTGGGTGGCAAAAGTATCTGGTTAGTTCGTATAGCTAGCCGAAAAGAAATGAAATAGTAAACTAAAACGGGAACGTCTGTGCCATTCTGTAGCACCAGTAATTACTTTTTGCTACAGAGTAGAGAGAAAGTTATGTAATACTGTGCGTAAAAACGGCGAATTTACAGGCAGATATTACAGGGTCCCGGTAACAAAAAAGTCGATGAATTCAGTTGCTAAATATAGAAACAAAATTCCTCCAACACCAGAATCCCAGTTTTGTGCGTCCTTCATATCGAAAAATAGAGCGACGGCAAAACCAGTCTGCCTGTGAACATCGCTAGCGACTTAACCGTTCAGCAGATTTTCTCCAAAATTGATATTCCTTCATCTATCTGGCTGTTGTTACGGTTACTTGAATTTGAAACCGATAATTTAAATTTGGGGGGTACTTTACATGAAGCCCCTGAGACATTTTCGAAGTTTTCAAAAAATGGCAATAGTTTTTTCACTCAGTATTTAGCACTCCCCGCTGCACAACTCTTAGACTCGGTTGGTAAACCGGTTATCCAATAAACATACTTTTCAGCCTTGTTACACTTCATTCTTCTTCTAAAGACAACCTTGGAACACTTCAAACCGCAGCAGGCGATCTCCTTACCTGAGCACAGCGGCGACGACCGGCACAGTCCTGGCAGCGTGCGCAAACACAGCTTTGCATCAGATGCACTTAGAAGCGCAAGGCAATTTTATCCAAAGGGTGTCAAGTTTTGAGGTTAATGTAGTTTAACAAAAGAAACATTTGTTTTCAGATCTCAATAATTGGGGAACTAAGGTTAGCAACGCCATTTATCAAGAAGTTTATTAGGTGAAATATATTTTTAAGGATTTTTGTTGAAGAAAGCTACTGAATACGCAGTTTCCATCTGGAAAATTCTAAGTCGTTTTGGACATTGAAAGAGAAGTGAAACACAGATCATTGCTTATTACAAGCAATGGTGGCAAAAAAACTGACAAAAACAAATTTTAGAATGTAACAGATAAAATGTCAAATTAGAATTCAGTTCTAAACAAATTTTAGTTGAACAAACAGAGTTGCGAATGCCCTCGTAACAGCTGTACAAGAAGTGGGAAGGGTTTGGGTTCAACGACGAACCCCACTGATTTATTTCTTCCATCTTTTTTTCGGTAAGACGTTACCTTTTCATAATTTAGACTTTTATTACTAAAATCTTTCCTAGTCCTAAGATACAGTATTTCTGCAACGAGTATCGGATGTTTATAAAACATTATTCTCAATCGTCGCTTTGCAAAATTGCTTCGTTGAATCTCGGGCATTTTGGCTGTAGACAGGTCTGTCCTTGAACGTCTGGCATTATTACTTTAGTATCTGTCGTTGGATAAAAGTGGAGCAATCAAAGCAACACAGTGACTGTTAAACAAATTCTTTAAAAAAGGGCATTGCCATCGGTATCCTGGCGGACCGCTAGTACAGCAAATATTCAAAATACATGTCTTTGGTGGGCCTCAAGAAATTAAAAACAAACTTCAAGATTCTTGAAGAAAACTATTTTAATATACTGCTAATTATTTCTAGAATTAGATCTTAAATGTATTCAATTTCCCTTTAATTATATAGAGATTAATTCTGGATCGCCCTCATTGGCGTACTTCGCGTACCGGAATAGAAATATATCCCGGGACGCATTAGACGAAAGTTAAGACTTAGCAAAATTGTGAAATATTGAAAAATAAAAGCGCGGTAAAGATAGAGTTATTTCAAGACAGAAATCTCTGCCTACTTACATTCTCATTCGAGAGTGATAGATGGTAACCGTCAAAAACAAAGTTTTTGTGATATTAAAATTCCCATACGCTTCCATCTGCTGTTCCTGTGCTAGCCCAAATTACGGCGCATAGTTACCCCCAGGTTTATATCATCTTTATGTACCCCATTGAAACCCCTTCCAGCGAAAACGTTCACTTGCATGTTCCCCTCCCGAACCCTTCATATCCGATGCGGCGTAAGTGCGGCCGTCGAAAGCGAAGACTTACTGGAGTTGGGCGTGTTGTCGAAGGGGTAGCTGGCGACGAGCGCGCCGCCGTGCAGCCCGCCCGACAGCACGAACTGGATCTTGGAGATCCACTCCTTGACGGCGTCCGTCTCGGGCTGGCCGCGCTTGTTGTTCTGCTTGAAGTAGTCGGGGAAGTTGCGGTTGAGGTCGAAGCCGCGCGCGTTGTACCTGCGGCACAGCACACACGCAACGCGCGTCAGCCTCGGACGACGCGCGTGGCCCACGGCCGCCGGAAGCGGACAGTCGCTCGCGCGGGCGGCCGGCCACGTGGCTTTAGAGCGCCTTCCCCACGCCGCCACGGCAGCGCGCGCCCGTCGAGCGACAGGGCTCTTCGCCGACCCTCCGGCGACGACGAACAAAGGGACCGCAGCAGATAAACGCAGCGACCGGCGGCCGCAGTGGGAAGGCTACCATTTAAAGCTGTTTTCTGCTAGCGGTGGCGCGTACGCCCTCTTCCGCTTCGTATAGCGAGAGTCTTGACGGAAGCGCGCCACCGTCGCGTCATGGGAAGGCGCCCTTGGCGCAACTACATCCACGAACGGAGTGCAGCAGGGTGAGGAAGAGTAAGGGTGGTCAAAATGGCACAGGTGTAACTTACTGATATTAACATTTCCCACTATACGTTCATTGCCAAAAGTGGCCGTCTTCAACCCCTAGAGATGCCCCAGAAGCGTGTAATGTTTAATCTGCATTATTTTATTACGAACTATGTGAACCATTCTCAATATGAGTAGGAGTTCTTTTTTAAACTCTTCGACCCTGTGTCTTTAGGAAACACGTTTTGTAGGTGACCCTTCTGTAGGAAACTTGCTTGACTAGTACAGAAAGCGGGTCTTTGACGTACGAATGAAATGTTGAAATTAGTACAGCAAAGACACTTTCGTACGAGTTGTGAACATTGTTTTTTTGTTCGAATTCAGGGAAACTGCTTACTCTCTTAGAACCATTCTCAACATGTGAGACCTGTTGCCTGTTTATTCATTACACCTAAGCGTTTTAATTGGTTGCAATCACATCACCCCTCCGGCTGAAACTAGCTAACCCTCAGGCGCGGTCTCTGCAGCACATTCCGTGGTTCCCTCACTATGACATCAACGTGGGCTCGATTTATAACAAGTTCTAACAATAACTAAGCAACTCAAACTATATAACAAGCTCTTAATCCCGCTCTAGCGTAGCTCGCACATCCCAACTGGTAATTAGGTGGTGGAGGGAGTGTGTCCAGTAGGACCTTAGGGAACGTCAACTGGTGTTACCAATCCTACACTCTTGTCCGGTACTAAGGAATGTTACCGCCAAAGTGTAATGTACATATGGCTCTAATTCATACTCATACGCCATCCGAAAGAACCAGGAACGAAGGAAGGGTGGGAAGGGTGATGCATGGTGGATGGGACGACCCTCTGTGCCACGACACACAGATAAGTAACCATTCCTGGGTGGAACACGAACTCGCGACCTGCAGAACCGAGCTCGATACTACACCGGTACCCTAGAGACCTCTGCCACGAGACTGCCTTCATTGCGAACGAAAAAGTTGTTTATTTTTGAATAATTTTAGGTAGAAAATCACATTTTGGAACAAAATACAGTTTTCAACACTTGGAAAATAGTGCTTATCTTTACTTTGGAGTAAAAAGTTGTAAAAAGTTACTTTACGAAACGCTTAGGGCAAAGTTTTATTTTGGCATAAGCGGCCCGCAAATAAGTATATAAAACTACCAGATATTGCACAATAATTAAAACACTTAGGTGCCATGAATCAACAGGCAACAGGTCTCGCATATTGAGAATGAGAGTATCCATGATTTCATAGTAAAAAAACAATGTACACAACTCGTACAAAAGTGTCTTTGCCGTACTAATTTCAACATTTCATTCGTACGTCAAAGACCCACTTTCTGTACCAGTTAATCAAGTAACGATTCTTAATGTCTGCGTTGCAGAGCAAGTGGCACTCACCGGCCCTGTCCGCCGTCGCACTGGCCCTCGCGCGCCACCTCGTAGCCGTCGGGGTTCATCGAAGGCAGCACGTGGATGCGCGTGTTGTCCAGCAGCCAGCGCACGTACGTGTCCGTGTTGTAGCTCGTCACCAGGTACTGCAGCACGTCACGGCACAAGCCCTTTCAACCTCTTTATTTTATCTTTAACTCCCACTTCACTTCAATCGAACGCGAGCCCCACAAACGGCAGAATAAAGATCAAAAACGAGAAATTCGCACATTCAAAATAATCAAAAGTTTAACGCAGTGGTCCAAGAGTAAGTTTGCGACACTTGAGATTCTCACAACAGTTGTCTGACTCCAGATTTTATTTAAACATTTATTTTCTTATCAAAAGGTATGTATTCAAAACAAAAAATAGTAAATGAGTCGAAAATATTCGACGAATTTTAACAAAATAAGGTTAAGCCTGTCACATTGGATGTTAATTTAAAGGATGTTACGAGTATAAAAAATACTATTCTATTCATTAAATTAACACAAGTAGCGACGAACAACGCATTTTGTACTCTCTAATCATGGCGGTGTGCCTAAAAAAGATCGATTTTCTTACAACTTCTTTCTATTAGATACCACGTCTTACCAATCGTGATCGATCTATAGAAATGTGAAAGGAAGTTGAATAAAAAATATTAATATAATTAATATTCGTCGCAATCAGAAAACTATATATTTATTATAATTTCATTTGTACAACAGTCTTCTTAAATACCACTCGTTTTACCGGTGATAAACATCCCACTGAAATTGAGTAACGTTTAGCAAATGATTTGCATTTTCCCAGCATTATAAGTTTCTGATTAGTTTGCAAAGATCTGGCTAAACAAAGAAGTCTTCAGCCATTTTCTGCTTTTAAAACATTCGCAGCGAATTTAATAACAGATACGAATAGATAGGAGAAGGAATAATAATTAAGACGAATAGGTTAATCCAAGGAAAAATTAACTAAAATTACTATGGTATGTAAGAAGTGATTCCACAGAGGCAGATGGAAAAAGTTACTCCTCACGAACGACTTCACAAGGCATGAAGCGGCTGTAATGACTCTAGAAAGTAAGGTAGCTTTATTTCTCTATTAGTTTTCATTAATTTTCCCTTGAGAGGAGGGCTTTGCTTAAATTTTGATTTTATTGATACTTTTGATAATTTCGACAAATTAATAGAATGATATCATTAATAATATACATGTGCAAACACATGTGAATTAAACATTATTAAATTTTTTAGCCTGAAACTGAAAATACATCGACTTTCTCACATTAATATTTGCATTTAATGGCAAAATCTATTAGATTTTTATGTCAAATAAGACTGATGAATCTTCGTAATATAATAATGTAATAGACGTGTATACTATAACTTCAAAATTTACGAATACTTTCAAAATGTATTCTAAATTTTCAGATTTCGAGTGAACAAACCCTAATTTTCTTTTATTCTCAGCCAAAGACGCTATAATAAATCAAATTACAACAAACACTTATGATAAATTGCATCATATTTTGTATAAAATCACTGCATGAATAATAACTATATTCGGCTTTCAAAAAAATTGGAAAATTAAAAACAATCAATCAATGAGCGGTGGGATTCTAAGTAAGGTTAAGGTTCTTCCACCAGCACTTACGTGGATGAGGTGCAGCATGAGCTCGCGCCCCACCGCCTCGTTGCCGTGCATGTTGGCCACGTACTTCACGTCGGGCTTGCCGATCATGTGCTCGTACGGCGACGAGCTCACCACCAGCACCCACAGGTCGCGCCCTGCAACACGGCCACCCGACGCTCGCCAACCGCGCAAGCCACGCGCCTGCGTGCGTGCGCAGTCAACCAATGGAGAACACACGCGCGCGCGGCGATGGGTACGCCAGTCCGGTACGCCAAGTTGGCGGGTTCAAACCCAATCGAAGCCGTGGATTTTTAAGGGCGAAAAAATCCTTCGTACGCCTTCCTTCGGAGGGGAAGTAAAGCCGGCTGTCCCAAGTTAGTAGATTTACTTGCACGCAGAAGATCCTCAAGCATAAATGACGCCTCTGAGCTAAATTGAAATCACCGGTTTCTCGCTCAAGAAATACCTCCTTTCTCTACTAGTTAGTGAAAGGAGCGTAGCTTAATTTGCGTGGTCAGACGGAAGAGCAGGCCTCATGGCCCGAGTCTCGCCACGTAAAATCAGGCATCAATTCAATTCAATTCAATTCAATACACACTGACAGAGCAATGTGCAAACAGGGGAGCTGGGAGGAGCGTGATTATGCTCTGGAGGGGTACGCACAACACGTACGAAACTAACGAGCGTAGCACCTGACGCATCCATAAACATCAATTAATGTATCTGTCATCATATACAATACGTGATTCAACCACATTCACCACAGATTTTGTCTGGCGCCGCATTCGAGACACGAAATTTACTATTAACTGCGAATAAAAATGTGTGGAAAATTGAAGTGTATAACTTTCACTAATATGCAAAAATTCCTAATTTACATTTCTAAATTTTGTAACTTATATTTACAGTAATACGTGGAGTGGGCATAACATTTGAAAAAGAAATTATTACATTACTCTTCAGAATCTACATCAAATCACACTTTCTACGTATTCCGGGCTCTTCAAGCCAGTTTTAATCGGTAAAAGTAAATTACGCACGTTTTAATCTCAATAAAAGTGAATTGGTGGAAATAGGAAACGAAGATATAGAGTTAATTTTTTTTAATACAAAGCATTCAATATCCAATGTTGATATATTTTCCTTTCAAATAACGAAACTTTATTACAACGAACTTTAGTACAGTTAGGAACGAAATAAAAATGCAACAGAAGCAGTACTTGAAATTTAAAGCCATTGAATATTTCTTTTTTCTTTAGAAACAAAGTACTCCGTGGTGTGGCCGTATAGTTTGAATATTTATGAACAGTATAAAGCTTTTGCAACCATAATACGCCAGTTTTCTTTGTACTTTTTCTTTGAAACTTTTCGGTAAATTGAACTTAAAACAGTGAAGAGGGATATACGGACGACGAACGCTGTATACTGTTAATAAATATTCAGATAATGTGGCTTCTCTCCAATATTAAAGCTGTAGTTACGAATTCCATTTTTGAAACGAATTCCATTTTCTTAAGGTACTGAATGCGACTCTTGGTTATGACAGGCGGTTGAAACTAGTAAACAAACTTTTTTCTCGTTCTATACATATACGGTTTTAAATTTCGCACTGCTTTAATATTTGTTATATACAATATATACCAATTATCTAACTCAAAATCTCAAAACAAACAATGCCTACAATTATTATTAATTATGAATTGTAACCACTACAACTACAAAATTCCCGAGAAAAACATTTATTTTCGCCCAAATCGATAACATTTTACAGAGTATATTAACCGAGGATTACAGAATGTAATTATTACTTGTTAATGATGCAATGTCGAACGTCTTGCAATCATTTCCTACGTCGTAAAAGGTGTTAGATTATGTTGGAAATTCTAGAGAATGTAGACTTGACTTATGGAATGTCTCATGCAAATGAGTTGTATTAATACACGCTAATTATTTAAAAGCAGGGCAGGGCAAGGGGAATCAGAGCCCCATATTACACACCCCATTTAGGTTGTTAGCAACCAGAACGCTGGCTATCTAGGGAAGGGGGCAAAAATTCAAGCATCTATTATGATTGTGGCGAGAATGAAATTTATCTTGCGCTGTCTGTTGCAAGAACTCTCCCCAGCAAGTGCCACTGCCGAGAGAGTTCCCTGGCGCGCTGCACTCACCTTGCACGGACTTGCCGATGGAGTAGAGCGCGGTGAGGTGCGGAAAGCGCGTGGACGTGGTGCGCAGGAACTTGGTGAGCTGGTCGTAGTCGTGGTAGCGGAAGTCGATGGTGTAGGGCTGGTCGGCGCGGTCGGCGGGCGCCCCCGGCGCTGGCGGCGGCCCGTACCCGCGCAGCGTCGCCTCGCCCGCCCCTGCGCCACACACACACACACTCACTCATCTCGCCCTCTTTGGAAAGAACGCTCACAGAAGAAAAAATGATGAGCAACTAATCAAAACGCATATGGTCCACTGTTGAAATTAAAACGAGTTTGATGAAAATCATTTAGATTTTAATACGCCCCACATGTTCCTGCTTTCAGATTTCTTCAAAACACATTTAATGTAATGCGTTAAAATGAGGTTTGAAGAAAACTGAAAGCGGAAACATATAGAACGTATCAAAAAATATATAATTTCATAGCAAAGTCAATTTTTACACCAGTGCACCGTATGCGTTTTGATTAGTTGCTCATCAAATGTACTTATAAATACTAGAGTTTTTTCATTTTATAATTACGTTTTAGTTAATAAACGTTAACATATAGAAGTCTCGTAATAAATGTTAAAAATATCTAGGGCACGTAGAGGGATCAGAAATGGCTGCCAATGAACATAAAGGAATTTTGTAAATAACGGAGCCATTACATTTATAGATGTGAAATTTCCCCCTGGATTTTAGGCCATTAAGCACAGATGATTTGAAACATTTATTCCGAGACACACTATAGTTTGCGCTTCGCAAGCAGGCTTTGATAATGTGGTTGTACTGTGTAAATGTGTCTTCGTAACGATGTCAATAAATTACCCTTTCGTGTAGTCAAATTGTAATTTATATAAACACTGCGCAGTCTTAATATTAATGATATTACTTACAAGTATATACTTTGTCATACCGTTTGTAACTAATACACAAAATCATAATCATAATACTAGAAACTATACTAATTCTTCAAGCGTTACATGAAACATCTTCCTCAGAAAATGAGAAGCTATAAATTCTAAATTTACAATAATTTTTGAAAGTTTACAGTTTTAAATAAAAATCGTATTTCTCTCTCCTCGATGAAAAATTTTAAGAAAAATGTTTTGCTACCAAACGCTCCTAACCAAATAACAATCTCCAGGTCAGTAGGCCGACGCTCGAGGCGTTAGGCGCAGCGAATGGTAATAAGATACTAGAACTTAATATCGAGTAGCAATGTCGAACGTAACAACATATTCACGATTTTACTCAAAATTACTTGAAACGTATCACTCGCCCGACATACAGAAAAAACACGAACAATGATTTAAATATATAATATTATAAAACACATTGCTTTAAGAAATTTCTAATATTATTTTCAATAATAAAGCTGTAAAACAGAATCGACAAAAAATTACACCTTCGCAGTTCTCAAAATTCAAGAGGTTTTAATGAAAAACTACAAATGGCATATTATTAAACTTATCTGCATTTAAGCAAGTAATTAACGAAAAAATTGTATTCATTGATAAAATCTTAGGATTTTTGATAAAACAAAAGTTTCTCGAAAATTCTATCATTTTCAGAAATAAGTTATCATGAAATATTTTACAATCTAAGTAGTTTTTTAACAGATTTCATTAAAAATCCTCATATCTTCAATAATATAGTTAGATGAGGCGGATTCAAAAAAATGTTGAACTTTTGCAAATTCCAAAATTGCAGAGGTTCTAATCAAAGTCTGACTCCATTTTAATAAGCACACTCTTCTCTATTCGGAAAAAGTAGAAAATAGGAACAGTTCTAGGGAAAATTTAGAAAATGTCATTGGAACTTTATGCAAAGTACTCTGAAAAATTAAACGATCAGTTGCACATTTGTAGGGCCTCGATTGTGGCCCTACTGATATGAGTATATTTTTGAGAAATATTGGAGAAAGTTCAATTTTTAGACACTAGTAGTATTTCTAAAACCAACAGACTTTTAGAGAAAATCACTTTTTTGATATCAAGAATCCTTAAAACGTGGATGCTGCGAATGCAATATGTTACTACTTAGGGAATTTACTACTTAGAGAAGCACAAAAAATCCACTTTTTCAGCATCCAAACCTCACAAAAGGTTTTAAATAGATGCTTTTTGCATCACTCTCTAACTTCTCTCTTCTCCACAACGAGACAAAAATGTTTTATTGCGTTGTGTTACCTGCATTTACGTGACATCAAGTGTCTGTGAAAGAAAAAACACATTTTCCATCAAATTTTATTCAACCATATATTTGCGAAATGGTATTTAAACTCATACCTAATACACACTTCCATGTTGCTTTTATTTTTATACGTACGAAAAAACATAGTATCTACTTATTTTATAATATTTCGGTACACGCCAATTTCAGCACTTTATTTTCTTGCACCCTGAGTAGCACACTTAATGCTTAACACTTAATACTGCTCTCAACAGTAATACCCTTCTTCTCACTTTGATAAATCATTAGATGAGATGTTTGTGAAACTGAATATCAGTATATATAACAGATCAGTATAACGTCTTTACATTTTATTTATTTACATGATATTTGCATGTTTTATGCAATATATGGAATGTGCAGTGCGAATTGAGCTTAATAAGGTGTATCTTGAGACAATCGTATCCATACCTAGTAATGCGGTTCAAGTTCGTGTTTATTTATAATTTCTTCTTTGGAAATAACATTCTGTAAATTTTTAAAATATTCCTAGAAGTATACATTAAGAGAGAAATCAACTTATGAGCATGGAGTAATCGATATCGAGGCTTCTCTTCGACATCACACGGGCAATGGAGGTCGATGAAAAGATTACTGAGTGTGTGGGAATAAATGATACAAACTTCTAGAGCTTGGAAATGAGGCGAAGACGACCTCTTCTTGAAAATGAACACCTAGTCTTAAAACAAAGTTGCACACACATTTGCGAGAATTGCTTCTAATGGTTCGTATACGTCGATGCGCGGCGTGTACACGAATTCCCTCTAATTGCGTCAGGACGTGACCTGCGAGACATTGAAGTATGGAGGGTTGTATAACTAAGGGGCAAAAATGGCCTGTAAGTAGCTTTGTTGTATGACATTTCCGACAACATTAATCGTTCTTTACCCTGCTACATTACCCTAGAAGTTTGTATTTATCTCTTTATTGTGCATTTGGAGAAATATAATAAACCGCGAGGTCTGTGAAACTCTTGAGATTGGACAGTACAAATTTCTTCGCCACAATAATTAAACTATTCGGGCTAACGAGATCCTTCGTGTCGGGTATTACGAGATATACTCTGGACACGAACAATAGGGGTTGAAGGTTTTGTAGACTTTTAAAATAACTCAGTGTTGTGATTACTGATATTTGGTTCTTACGTCTGAGTTTATAATAGATGATAAAATAACTTTTTGCCGTGAACCGAATGAATTAAGTCAGGAAACCTGCAGTTTTCATTTACGTTTCTAGCAAAGTACAAGGTGATATTCAGATATTTACTATTACAATCACTACTGTGCTAGATGAAGAGGAGGATTAAATTGAACCCGTTTTAAGAGCATTGATCTACTCATCAGTACGTGATAAAGACTGATTTCATTTCTCACTTAATTTAACTCCACGTTAAAATAGTGATTTGCTAGAAAAAGGAGGGAGGGGAATAACCGACTTCCTCAGACAGAACGTTAGGCCACAATAGAGAACGTGCATGGATGATTCACGCTTTATAGTAAACTACACAAAATGTTAAAAGGAATCTAGTTTGATGCCCAGAATTCTTGAATATTTGTCATATAGATCCATTTTGCTGTCCTCACATTTACCTTTAAGAATTTGAAGCAACAAGTTCAGGTCGAAGTGAGGAATTCCTCTTTGCTTTATACACAACGGTAAAGATACCAAGCAGAGACTACTTTCTCATTAGTGATCACAGACGGCACAGAATTTGAAAAATAAGAATGGGAGACGTCTATTTTCCTAAACTTCATGCTTATGCATTCAAGTGGTGAAGACTAGAACAAATATAATTTATTTCTTTTCGCTTTTTTTATATTTAAAGGATAAGATGAAAATAACTTATCCTCACAATGTAATAATATAAATTGAATTGGTAGTTGTAAAGATTAAAAAGGTTTCCAAAGCGTAGAAGGAGTGGAGATATTAGCGACAATTACCTAGTAAGTATATGACAAATTTTGAGAATTTTCAGTTGGCCACAAAAAGTTTAAAATCGAAGTTTGTAAATAAATTAATAAAAAATAAAACAAACGAAAACTTGTCTACTTTTAGGTACACGATCTATTCAAAAAGACGTATGTTAATCGTCCACTGAGTTACGCAAAACGAATTCAGTACTTCAGACCAAGGATTTTAAGAAAACTACAGATACATTTAGAACTATGACCACTATCGATTCCTTGTTGAACAAGAACTTCTTAATTAGGCACACACAAATACAATCCGCAATAGTGCACATTTAAAGCTCTGTTGACCGGCATATCGATTGCTTATAGCACGAAAACAGGGTACCCTGGGGCTTTAGAACCGGACTTTCCAGACCTAACGAATAGGAGTTTGCTGTTGAAAATAAAATGATAGGCTTTAGGACTTTTATAGTACATTTTAATTTATTCTAAGCATTTTATATATTCTAAAAATAGTTTTAAATTTGTCTTAATAATATTTGTACAAAAGAACCTTTAACATCTTTTTCATACAGATATAAGGGAAAAGGTGGTGAAGTCAATTCGAAAAGCTCTGGTCCATGTACGCTTGAAACAAATGTATTTTAACAAAAAATTCCTACAAATATTTAAAAAAATTTGCGACCTCTACAACGTAATTCACGAACAAAAGAATGAGGATTCTACTAATTTCATCACCACACAAGTATTTGACATGAAAACATAAAGTATCAAGATAAATACATTTTTTATTTAGCCAAAAAACACTGTGCGGTTCTACGAGATTACTTTTAAATATTAATGAGTCAAAAATTGTTTCTTCCGAGTCGTCTCGTGTTTTTGTATTTGCAGTCTAAAAATTGCAGAGACAAAATTGACACTTTTACTAAAAATAATGATGTTTCTTCAGATTAAGGCGTGGTTTACTTGAGCGTGTTATCACGAAAAAGTAGAAAAAATTTTGATTAGCCTCCCCCACGTTTTCTGGGAGGCGCTCCCACCCCACATCGCACTAGGTAGCTTCCCCGCCCCAATCGTCTCCATCCAGCCGCCGCCCCTCCCCTCCCCCTCCCGCCCTCTCCGAGACGCGCGGCGCGGCTTCGTCCCACAGGGCGCAGCCTCCGATCGACCCACCGGCGCGGGCGGGGAAGGCGGGGGAGTGGTTGGGGGGAGGGAGGGGAGATGCCGCGCGGCCGCACCGCGGGGCGCCAACTTTCTATATAAATTTCCGCGCCCCGGATCCCGCGGAGAGCGGCGACAAGTCACGAGCGCCGCGCAGGAATGGAGACGCGTCGAAGCAGAGGAGACGGAGAGCGACGGAGCACGGAGAGGGAACGAAAGAGCTGGGACTAGAAACACGAAAGAGTGCGTTACAGCGACAGGGTGGACAGAGAGGAAGTAGGGGGATGACAGGGCAGGTGTGGAAGAAAGGGGGAAAAAGTTGTACGAGAAGGAGGAAAGGGTGGACAGATGAAAGAAGAGATGAAAACGGCGAAAGAAACTTGGTTTAAGAGGAGGTAAGGAATGGAGACGAGGTTTAAGGGGGGAAATAGAAAGGGAGAAAAACTGAAGATCGGAAGATGGGAATGTAGAGAAGAGAGAAAGGGTGCGAGAAGAGAGAAAGGGTGCGAGAAGAGAGAAAGGGTGCGAGAAGAGAGAAAGGGTGCGAGAAGAGAAAAAGGGTGCGAGAAGAGAAAAAGGGTGCGAGAAGAGAAAAAGGGTGCGAGAAGAGAGAAATTATCTTCTAGGACCAATGGAGGAAGTGATAGACGGATACCGATAGACTGGAACCCGATAGACGTTGATAGTAAATTTTTGACAATCAGGGAAAGGACGTGAAAGAAAGGGAGGAAGATAGAAGGAAGAAGAATTCACTCGTAGTCGCACGATCGAACCCAAGGTGGAGCAGTGATTGTGGGTTTGTAAAAAAATAAACTAACTTTGCAAGAGAAAATAGGCAGAAAATTAAACCTATTAAGAGAATATTAGTCGCAAGTTGCCTTCGCCAGCTACAAATCTTCTTTGACATTACATGTAGATGGTTTATCTTAATATTATGCGAACACCTAACGTGTTTTTTCCACGTCAAACGTATTGCTCTGTATGTAACATTCTCCTGGAAGATCTTTCTACGGTTTCACCACTATACAGGAAATGGAACACCAATCCTCATCACTTTACTGTGCTTGTTTTGCCTTTTGAAAGGAGGACACTCTGGCTGCGAGCGCCTTCTGGTGCACGAGCAACACTCCCGACGATTTAAAAAAAAGACGGCTTAAGGAAAGAGTAAACAGTGAAATACATGTTTCATTGTAATAAAAAAGTACTAGTCCCTGTCTTATTTACATAAGTAGGAAGACGTAATTGATATAATTTAAATTTACCAAAAGGTAAAATAATGTTTTCATTCACATATTTAATGTTAATATTTTGTAACATGTAAGGTTTATTATCTTTTAAATTTGTTATTTCCAGTCTCATTGAGACATCATTATTTTCCATTGTTGTCAGTATTAAAAAAACAGTTGTGACAGAATGCGAGTTCTTTATCTATGTGGAGAGAAATGAGATTGTACGGTGATATTTTTCTCCATTTTGGGCGGTTGAGTGAAATTTATGTTTTTGTTGATAATTAACTCAATCACTCCATTTTTCGTTTATTGTCGGGGCTGACACTTTTCATTAAAAACATGTTTTACAAGAAAGAACGTTCATGAAGGAACATTTTAATCTTAGTAACAGTGAAAATTTTCATACTTCTCTGCATGAAAATGTTGAAGAAAAGCTGGAGCGAGTAAGAAAAATATTAATACCATGCATGTCGGGTGAAAACGTGATATTTCCTTGAAGGTTTTAATTAAATATTATTGAAAGGGGAAAATCAAATCATTATCAAAATAATATTAAATTTTAATTGGTTTAATGAGGTTTTGTATTAAATAATTGTGTGTTGAAAGGACATCATTTGAAACTTAAAAATATTTATTAAACGAGTACGAGACACTGTGTTTCATCTATGCAATTTTAAAAACCATAACTATATTGTTATTTACATATGCATTCTAGACTTCAGAATTATTTCTGTTCAGTGTTTCGTTATTTTCTAAACTGCTCGAGACATCGTGTGGACGTGTAACATCATACGCTCCCACAATAAAAAAGTACTACGGCAGTATCAGTGTTGAAGTATAAAGTGAATATTATTATTGTCTTGAATAAAAGATGGCTTTAGTGGCGCCCAGTGTGAAGTATGATCGTTTAGCAGTCAGCCGAACAAAATATCGCGCAGTTATGCGAATATCAGCACATACATTATTGTTTTGCATTTTTGTATTCTGTTAAAATTGTATATCATTATGGAAACGAGAAGTGGTAAGACGCTAGGGGAAATGCGTGACCTTAGTGAGGAGACAGTTTCAGTAGTAAGTGAACAAGGAAATCAGGGAAATACGTTGAAATTAGTGGTACAATAAAAATGCAACGTCCGTCTGAATGTTAAAGGAATTATAAATTAAATATTATTAAAATCTTGAATAAAAGAATTACGGATGTATTATATAAATCATTCAAAAGATTAAGTGAATTACTGCCATTGACTTCACTGTATTTCGGTGTAATGTAACATTTCTCTCTACAGTTCATTACACGCAGTTTTAACAGTTTTGATGTGAAATAAACAAAAACAAAGCCTTAATTGTCCATGTCGACCCACCAATAATGAAAAGAATTCTATGAATTACGAACTGACGCTCGTCGAACAAAACTCGGAGAAATTTGAACTTGCAATTTCAAAAATTTGTAAATCTCGCTTATATACTCTTTTAAAAAAATTGAACTTATTTTTAGAACAGATTAGATTTAACCACAAAAAATCTCTATCATTAGTATTGTACCTTTGTAATGTTCATTATTTGTTTGCAATTTTCGAAAATATAGATAGTGCGTCGAAAATGGGAACAGCACCACTTTATTTACCGTTCTTTGCTACATACGTGGAAACAATTTAAAGAAACAATTTGGAGCTTTTTGAGAAAATAATTGTTGACATGGTTTAAAAATTACCTATGTTTCACGTCAAAGTATGCAAAAGGTATTCTCGGAAGATTGGCATTGTCATGTTTTATTTGAAAATGGTTTTCGATGAACATATTATGTATGAGAACATGATTTTGATATAAATTAATCACATTTTGTAAAAAATAGATTAGTGAACAAGAATTCAATATTGTTCAAACTACAATTTTGTATTATGAAGTCGCACAAATATATTTATCAAGCGGTAGTTCAACCATTCTGATATAAATGGAATTTTTTTCGAATTTCGTTAATTTTTCTTTGAATTTCGTGAAATAGCATGAGATATCAGAGTTCCGTCCATGATAAATATTCATGGATCAACATATGGAGTGGGTCAGTACCATCAAGTCATTCCGCATCGAATATCGGCGAATATATATTCATGGAAAACTAAATAATGTTAGGGAAGTTTCCCGGAAGAAATTCGCATTTCAGCGCAATATCCATCCTACCAACGAAAATATGACCAAATGGCAATGTATATTTTAATTTTCAATTTCCGTGACTCGCAATATTGCTTTCGTATTCAATAGCTTATAATCACTGCTGGCGAAATGTGTTATGGAACCAAGCCCCGATATTAGCAAGTATCTACAATATGCAGATCGAAATTCAATGTTTCGAAAAAAGTCATCGAAGGTAAATTAGCACAGCAGGCAATATTGGTTGCCATTCACTTGAGGATTTAAATAAATACAAGGGATAGCGAATACCCTCACCCAATACAGTAAATTAGAATAAATAAATTGATGTTTGAGATTTACTGAAAAATCGTTTAATTTAACAAAAACTAGCGAGTATCAAGAGACATTATTGAATTTTTGGCATTTTTATCAAATTAATTCGTTCTAACGTCATTAGATCGTTACCGGACTAATAAAGGACGCGGTTGAAGTTTGCAAACCAGGACGAAAACCGAAGTTTACAAAGAACAACGTCTGTTATTTGTGTCGTCTAGTTCCACCTAGTTACGATAAGATTATATCTTGTATTAAATAAGAAATACTCTCTCTTGGTCTAGTACTCTCACACCACCTTTAGATACACCTAATTTATATCATTATTCTCGTGGCCGCTAAACCCAAAACGAACGGCGACCGTTAAGAGCGACTTTTCATCACTGGTGTCGTTATGTCAAAACATCAGTGAAGTATTATGAAAAAATATAACATAACTCCCCTTAATCAGTTTCTGAAATTAACCGAATTAAAATATGGAATTTTCTAACGTTTCTGTTAATTAAAACAAGCTTCAAAAATGGTTTGTTTTTTTCTTATATTAGTAAAAGTAAATGTGGAGGCGCGGAGGTCAACTAATGAAAACTACGATTGCGTTGCCTTGTTTACATGAAAAGGAGAAATGTATTACTCAAAACATCTTTATTCCATTGTGTGTGCTACATTGTCTAATGTTCGAGGATGATTTTTAAGAATATATAATGTTTTTAAATTTTATGAGTTTTTTATTCATTCAATTCATTAAAAAATTGTGTTTTACAACATGAAAAATATAGCAGTTACAGTGATCATGAGTTCCTGACACTGTTTTCATGTCACCAAAGTTAAGGGATACAACATGTGTGAAGTATTGGTTCGACAACAGTACTTACTTTCTTCATTCTTTCTTACTTTCTTGTGCAAACTGTTACTCAATATTAAAGCGCTACTTGTGTTCTATTAACACTTTAGCCATCACTAGAAAAACACAGACCATATAACTCTAAATTACCCGATAACTATCTACTAACAATTTGAAAACGCGCAAATGATATGGTTTAAAGGCCTAGTACCGACAAATAGATGGCGTTAACACAATCCGTTTTCATTTCGAAGGTGTGGAATATGTATAAAAAATATTACCCTTCGCACGTCCTAAACAGCAGACGAACGAATGGACAGACCCAGAACTACATATAGACAATCAAACTAAACAGAATTTGACAGGCGTAGGCAGGCGAACGCATACCTACAAACTCGCGCTCATTCACACTCGCACTTACTCACACGCACAGATAAACATAGACACACACAGACGCACACAGGCAGACATACACTCAGACATACCGAAACGCGAAAAAAGACAATTTAAAAAAAACAATTTTTCGGAATTAGCGACCCCTATACCATGCACTTCCTTCGACTTGGAACGAGCTAGAATAGGAGTATTGTGAGCCGAACACCAACTTGAATTCACCAATGGCAAGCGATTCGAAATAGTACTGCATACGCGATGTTTCCAACATACACGATCGTTGAGCAGAACGAAAAAGTTTGTGTGGTGGATTTACTGTTTGCTTGCAATTTCCATTTCTCTCTCTTCGGCCACGTCCTTTTTCACTAAAGCGACCATATTTTCGCTTGCGATGCGCATTGCCTCTATCTCTCTCCACGCTTCTGCGCAAACTCTCTTCAGGCGCTCGCTCCGGGCCTTGATGTCTTCCGCCTGGGCAATCTGCGCCAGGAAACGAGCGGCGGGGAGCGGAAGGACGCAGCGCGGGGAGCTGGAGCAGCGGGGGGGTGGGGGGGGGAGGTCAGGGAATGGAGACGAAGGTGTAAAGCGACGGAAGAACCGGAGATGGTGTTGGCAAGTGGCCGCGAGGAAGAAAGCAGAGGAGGCTCGGAAGTGTGGAGGCGGGGAGGTAAAGGAATGGAGAGGCGAGGAGGTAAAGTGGCGGGAAATCAGAAGCGGGTTGGCGGGTGAGAAGTGTGGGTGAATGGGGGGTAGCTGAGGTGCTGGAGTGCTACGAGCGAGATGGCGAGGGCGTGGTGGCGAGGGGCGTGGAAGTGAGGGCGTGGTGGCGAGGGTGCGTGGAAGTGGGGGGGCGTGTAGTGAGGGACGTGGTGCGAGGAGCGTGGTGGCGAGGGAGCCGGTGGGTGGCGAGGGGCGTGGAAGTGGGGGGGCGTGGTGCGCGAGAAGTGTGGTGGCGAAGGGCATGGTGGCGAGGGGCGTGGGGGCGAGGAGGCGCGCTGCGAGGGGTGGGTGGCAGGCGAGAATGCGTAGACGGGATTGGAAGCGAGACGCCATAGAGAGCGCAAAGCGTTGCGGGGCGGGGGGGCGGGGCGGGTGAGGCGTTATCAAAAGGACTGGCGCGACGCACCTGCGCTGGAGTCTTCCCCGGCGACGGCGGCGGCGGCGGCGGAAGGATGCGCGGCGGCGCGGCGGCGGCGGAGTCGTGGGCGGAGGTGGGTGCGAGCACCGAGGCGAGGGCGCGGCGAGCAGCAGCACCAGCGACGCCAGCGCGCACGCCGCCACCAGCAAGCCAGGCGGCCAGCGCACGCATCGCGGGCGGCTGCAACACACAAACACAACATTGGCGTTAGAGCCACTCAATCGAAGGGAACAGGAGTCCTGGCGGTTTTCCTAAGGGAGAAAGGGTCTCCTCTCTAAATGTGGTACGAAATTAAAATATTTGCTTTCATGTTTTTAAAAAATTGTATTTTTTCATGTAGACAGGAAATTTACTTTGTCTTTTTTAAACAACGCGAACTTCTAAGAAATGAATTGAATCTTCTAATGAAAAAATTTTGGAATTCGCTCTAAGAGGAACTGTCAAGCCATTATCTTCGGTGTAATAATCGTTCATTATTTCATAGCATCCTGCGGCCAGAAAAGAAAGCATTTTTAATGACGCCATACCACCAAGAGAAGATGTCTTCCTCTCTGCATCAGTTCCTTTACAGGCATCTTTTTCAACTACATGATCGGTTAAAGGACGTGTGCAATGCTACATGCCAGCAACGGTAGGTCAAGCTGGGTGGGCTGGCGGAAAGCCCACGTGCAAACGAAACCTGGAGATTATTCTCGTTTATTCCATCAGCAAGTCGAGTAATGTAATCTTATTTGCGTATTTCATTTGAGGTCGTTTATGCAATGGACTATGTCGTTCCTTCTCTTACGAAAAGCGCACCCTGCCACCGCTGTTTGGCCATGATCTCAGGGAAGTACGTTCTCCGGTCTTTTTCCGACACCGTTTCTACTCTTGATGTTAAGATACCTGCACTCTTTGTATTGTTCCTTAGTACTGCCAGTATTGTGTTTAAAATTACTGTTATTTGCTTTACAGTGTATTGTGCTTATTTGGTGTTAAAATTATTGTATATTTATGTAAAAAGCTACCGTAAACTAAACGTAGCTTTCTCTAACGTTCCTCAAATAACTTCACTTTTTTCGCCTACTTTTCTTCGTCCTTTTCTCGCTTCTTTTCTCTCCTCTTCCTCACAAATTTTATCATTTTTAATTTTAGACCCCTTCCCCTGAACGTCTCTTCTTTTCTCTTTTACGAAACTTCCCTTTCATACTATGTACAACTTACTCAGTACTATTAATGTTCGGCCCTAAAGCCGCCATCACTGATTGAGGTTTTCTGGGTTTACTCAATCGCTTTAAGGCGTATTGCCGGATGGTCCCTAGTTTGTTCTCCCCAGACGTAAATGTACAGCTTGTCATCCCCTCTTAAAATGTTACTATTCTAAATGTATGTAAATTCAGTGGTTAGGGCGAAAGAGCAGGCCCTATGGCTGAGCCTCGCCATTAATAAAACATTATTATTATTATATTATTATTATTATTATTATTATTATTATTATTATTATTATTATTATTATTATTATTATTATTATCTTCATCCAGAGCGTTCAGGTTTTCTGTAGCCTCCCCGCTAACCTTCACAGCTGCAGGTTGCAGGCCACAGTTAGACGTGACGTTCTACTTTTACAAATTGTTTTCTGTTGTTTACTGCAAACCAAGCTGTATTATCTGATAAACATGCAAAGTGCAATATATATTATTAAAAAGGGATTGCCAACAGACATTAGCAAATTTCTTTATCTATCTTAAATTAGCATTTCTTTAATAAAAAACAAATATCGTGAGGATACTATGGCACATTTCTATTAATACTTGGCGTATTCTTTATGTTATCTTTATGCTATTGACAAAACTGTAAAGAACACATCAAATACACGCCACTAAAATATTCTTGAAAACAACTAAGCATTGCGTTATTATAAAACTTACATTCACTAAACTTAAAATTTCACGAATAGGGAAAAATATTTTTTCACCTAATAATGAACAACTAGAGATTCGACCTTCCAAAGATATTCCGCAACGTTCGAAGGTTCGCGTTCATATGCAAAGAGAACGTAGTTTCTGACGTGAGTCGGATTGTAAATTTCGAGTTTGTGTCCACCAATTTCAAGACACGCGAGCGAAGATTTTCCATACTTCGCCAATTTACCCAATTGAATTTGGACGGAGAATGCAAAGTTTGAAACAATTGCAAGTTTTTAATTTTTGAAAAAACGTTAATTACCATAACGTTTGCTAATTAACAAGTAGTCAATTAAAAATAAATTAAAAAGTAAATTTTGGGACGTTCAGTTTCATAACATAGTTTTTGGACTTATAAAGATGAATATATAACATTTCCTCGGTTAATATAGTTTACAGTTTATTAAACATAATTGATTCGGCAATAACTGCTGCGCTGATGGCAGTTTGTTTTACATAGTTTTATCCTGGGGAAGGTAGGAAATAAAGTGACCAAAGAACAATTTTAAGCACTTATGTGGATACAAACAACATTCTAAGCAATTATATTACGTAAAACACAATTACAGTGCAGATGTGGCCTTCATTCGGTTCTTCATAATTAAATGCGTAATTTGAAAAGGAGAAATAAGTCTTCCATAGTTCAGAGAAAAAGAAGAAGAAACACTTAATAACATCCACAGTTGGCATCTGGGACCTTTATGTTCAACACAAAAGTTGTAGAACTAGTCGTTATTGATTGCTTGGGCACCTATATAACTTCAAATTTGCATTGCTGTGATGTACAAAACCGGTTGTATACCCTGAACGTTTTTCCTTTACAAAATAATTATGAAATATTAAAAAAGTATTTTGTTATTTTTTATTATTTTGTTTATTTCTTTATTTTTAGACTTATGAAACTATGTTAATTAACATATTGTAATATGTTGACATGAAAAATACTCTTACTAAATTAATAATATCAGCTACTACTCATCGATTTCAATTTGTGCCTGTAGCTATGTCAAGAGAGATATGTAGAGATATTTGAGTATTATAATATTTTTGAACATGGGTTTTTTCTTTCTGATAATTTTAAGAAAAGCTGAGCCATAACCTTCCTTGAAAGGCAAATAGGGTTATGCCTTCCCTTTTGCCAACACGAAAGAGTACTTGATAAGCCCATAAATATACGTGCTCACGTACTCACGAGGTAACCAAAATATTCTCTCTCATTCGTTAGCTGCTTTACTTGCAGGGAGCCACTCCAGGCTCATAATGAGGACTTCCAGGACGAGCAAGAGACTTCGTTATCTTCTTAAAATGGTTTAACCCTCAGGCTTTGACGTCTGTAATGTTCTTAGAAAGCATTTAGGCGTTTTTTCTAACTGATAGTGCTAGTTCTGTGTGAGGATCAGAAACTGGACCTTAACTACTTTCTCTTTTCCATTCAGAATTTTTAGATGTAATTATAACACATTCTTTAAGGTGGAGAAGTTTCATTTTTACACAGAATTATGGCTCCAAATATAACAAAGAAAATGTATATTTTAATTATTTTTACGAAAAAAAGTGGACTTATTTCCCTTTTCAAATCACAGATACATTGATATCCGCAATTTATTAACCTACAAAACAATAATTTTAAAATTGCATTCTAGGAAGTAGCACAACGAATTAAACACTACAGCAGCAAGTTTAGACACGAGTATTAAATGCCGGTTTTAAAATCCTATTAAATAACCCTGTACGATGGACTTCATTCGTCGTCATTGTGAGTCGCCGGGCTAGCAATAAATTGTTCCTGTGAACGACAGTATTTTCACTCCACCATACAATGGTATTAGCGAGTTCAACGTGATTGTGAGTGTTTCGTGTGCGTATGCGTGTAAACAAACACCGTAATCTCGATAACGCCTGCAAGTTGCCTTTGCATGCGACTCGCAGTCCTATGCAACGCTGTCTGCAACAACGCATCCCGGGCGCTGCTTCGCACGGGAGGCGCCGCGTCGGAATGCAGCCATTCGAGGCGATCGGCGCTGTGTATACGCGCGCGAAGCAGCGGCGACCGCGCGAGGAGGGGGAGCCAAGGCACACGCGCGGAGAGCAAGACGACGGGTGCCGCAGAGGGGCTGAATGAAGGGGCGGGGCAGTGGCGAAGTGGCTGCGGCCGAGAGCTTGCAGGGAGAAACAACACGGACTGATCTCGCGGAGGCGCACACATCAACGATTCTTGTCGAGCAGGTAGTAAATTGATTAACTGGTTGTTTACCACCCAGCTGCGACAAGCTCTAAGCTTCCGTCTGGCTTTCCGACTTCTGCGGTAGTGTACTGAATGTAAGTGCGAGTGTTTATTAGTAGGGAATGTGGAAAGGAGAAGGAAGAGGAAGGAAAGATCGCGCTATGTACTTGTCCCGTTTATTAGGGCACTGCTCCGGTATTCGCCTAGTGTTGATCGGAGAAACCATGAAAAACTATCGACCACAGTTACCAGACGCAAGAATTTTCCTCCTAACAGTGAGCTGCTGAATTCGAACTAGTTATATAGATAGCGTCGAGTATCCTGCCACCGCCTGGACTCGAACCCTGCGACCTCCCGCTCAGTCTCTGCAGAGGCAATGCCAATGCTGCCAGGCAAAAGTGGCCGGAGGGGAAGGAGGCAGCGACGCTGGGAGAGAAGCAGGCGGCGTGCGCCCCGGCGAGGGCGGGTGGCGCGCCGCCTATTGGTGGCTGTGGCGAGATCGAAGGCGCCAGTAGGGCCGGTGGCGGCAGTTGGTGCGGACGCAGAATGACGAATGGGCGGGCGCCTGGTGCTTGATATGTACGTAAATTTCGCCTCTCTCAGACAGATGAGAGGTTTCAAATTAACTCACAGAGCCCGCAATCGGAAACAGAAATACTTACAATTCGTAAAGAAACTCCTAAATTTTGCTGTTTCATTAGAAAAAAGAACTGATTCTGGCTTAATTATTCTAACTCCCAAATGATGAAGATAAATTTTCCTAAACTTAAACTAGTCAAAAAACTTGAGAGGACCTAAATTATTTTCATTCTGTCACTGATGACTAATCGTCTCTGATGTGCGAGCGTTTGGAGCAATAATTTTGCATTTTCAGCTTTCCTACACCGCGCTTAAATGTAATACTACACGGAAAAACACTAAAAATAGCAGTATAATTTATTTTCAGGATTGAAACTATTTATGATGACTTGAAGGCTCCTTTAAAAATTATACTTTTACATTAC